ACCCAAACCATTCTATGATTCTATGATAGTCAATGCTTTATGTAGGACAACGTTTGGACAGCAGTGAGGGAATTGCTACTGTTATTTCCACAGTTAAGTTGGAAGTTGAGTAAAGATTAAATTCTTGTGCTAGTTCACTTATTACTTCTGGTTAGGTAAGGCACACACTTCCCATGAAAAAATGAAAATTTTTAAATTAGTGATCTACATTTAGAGACCTGTACGTAAGGAAAAACAATAACTGTATGATGGACTGCAGTATCAGTGCTAGTATGACTGCCAAGGACTTACTGCTTTCCTGCAATAAACTCGGGGAAAAGCCTTTGCTGGAAAAGCCTTGCTCTCTCGACTATCATGCACACACAGAGTTACCAAAACAGTGTATGAACAACTGCTGCTCAGAAGGATCCGTAATCTATTTAAGAAAAAACGTGGCATAAATTTTCCTAGATTCTCTGTTACACGCAGAGCCCAATATGACATAATGATAATCACACTGATGCCCCTCAAATTTCTAAGGTGGAATATTTGCAAAGATCCAAACAATATAGGCTTGAGCTTCAGTAAGGTGCACTTCCAGTCTGATGAGGGCTTCACTTTATTTTTATATAAGAAATCCTATTATACTCCATTTCAAAATGTATTGTAAATAAAACTTGTTCTGACACTTTTCAGCAAATACTGTGAGGAACTTCAGCTGTATTCAGAAATTCTTTTACACTCACAAAGAAAAGGAATTTACCTTCTATACCTCCCGAAAGAGAAGAAAGGCAGAATTTGGGTAACAGCTTGGTACATAACTGTAGCAATATTTTATTCTTGACAAATTGTGTGCTTTATCATAAGAGGTCATGAATGACATTAGTTAAGAAGACCATATGCATACCTAATCATAACAATTACTTGTAGCTGTAAATTTGAAGGGAAGATCCCTAAATTTTAGGAACACCCAGGTTCTTAAGAGCTGAGGTCTTCCAAAAGTCTCAACTGTGAAATATAACAAAATTGACTGCTCAGGTCATCTAAAATGACTGTCTAGTCCAATTTTATTCCTGACAAATTGTGTGCTTTGAGTTTACCATAAGAGGTCATGAATGACATTAGTTAAGAAGACCATATGCATACCTAATCATAACAATTACTTGTAGCTGTAAATTTGAAGGGAAGATCCCTAAATTTTAGGAACACCCAGGTTCTTAAGAGCTGAGGTCTTCCAAAAGTCTCAACTGTGAAATATAACAAAATTGACTGCTCAGGTCACCTAAAATGACTGTCTAGTCCAACATCATGTACAACATGAAAGATGTGTTTCATTCCAAAAATACAATTTAATCCAAAATGTCCTAGCAGAGACAACTGAGTGAGAAAAACATACAAGACTACCTAAATGGAAATGTTTTCTAGTTTGGATGAGTAGTTCTGATAATGCTGTAATGAAAAAAAGGCTCTAATAAAATGTACTGAAGTAGTTAGGAACAAGTCTTCTCAAAAGGATACCAGCAATCTCAAGTGTCAATGCAACTGAGATGTCAAGATACTTTGCCCTGGGTGAAGAGCTACATGGGAAAGAGCAGATGTGAAAAAATCCAAAGAATGAAGCAGTATATTCTGACTAGGCTGCACTTGGACTATCAGAATGACAGTGGCATTATTTCACTCAATGTTCTGACATCGATCAAACAAGAACAGTTGGAGTGCACATGCACACTCCAAATGCTAGAGGCGTACTATGCACAGGCAAACCTAGTGACCCAACGTAGAAAAAACCTTACTTGCAACAAAATAGAAAACAATCATTCAACGAAGATGAGAACAGAAAGTCCCTTTTAGAATGTTTCTGAAAGCTAATCAATGCAAG